AAAGCGCAGAAGCAGGCCCAAAATTGAACTTGCCCACCCCACGCACGTGGAATAGAGAGGCTTAGAACTCTAAGGATGGAGTTTAGGGCTGTGAGGGGCTCGTAAAGGTGGAGGGGGAGGGGGGGGGGCTGTGTCCTTGGGCATTCCAGGAGTTGTTGGCATCTAATTACTAGTTGTGTGCCGAAGCTGAGGGTCAGCACAGCGTGTCAGAGTTCGCATGTTGGTGCACTTGCTTTCTTGATGGAGGCCGTTCGCTGGTCGCCGGCTTTAGATGAGCCTGGCCAAGGCCGGTGTATGTGCGCAGGCTCCGAAATGGCCATTCTTGTCTGGGTCCACGTGGAGCACAGCTTTGCATCAGAGTCACCCGTCGGAACCCAGAAGGCCTGGACCTGGCCCACAAAGACCGCAGCATCCCAGCGTCGAGCCCGAAACTCACAGGGTCAGTCCTTCTGGCATTTTCCGTTATGTTGCTGTCTCCTTATCTTTGCTCGCCACTTGTGCATGGGTGTCCGTAGCAGTGGTTAGGACTTTTGGCTGAACACGTGGCCTCTAAGCAAGGTTCAAGGAGCCGAGAAAGTCGTAGTGACGAGGTCCAGCCACAAATCAGGCAATAACTGTGACGAATGTCCGGCAGTCGTGATTCAGAAGAAGGGGGCCGCCCTCGACCGTCCCTGCTCAAAAATTGGGGAGCAGAAGAGACCTCGAATGATAGACTGACCACCAGGCCTTGACAGGTGATACTTGTACAGCGAATTGGCCGAAAGATGCCGAAAGTGTCTAGTGGCTAAATGGTGGCACCTCGGGGTTGACGGGGGCCATGCCGGAGAGGAAAGCGGGCTGAAAGCCGTTGAGGGTGACACCAGCAAGCAGAGCTCGGAGACTGATCACAGCCTGCATCAAGAACTCTGCTCGCCTCACCTGGCGCAGTTGCTGCGGTTGAGGGGATGGAGATGAGACATTTCGAGTTGTGAAGTGTGTGGGAACTCTCCTCCTCCTCCTCCGCATTTTTTAGTATCTCCGATTCAAGGTACTAGCACTCGGCCAACTTCTGCGGTTAGCAGCCATGTCGGGCATCTTAGCATCTCAATGTGCCCTGATGGCACTTGTACCACTAAGTATGCAGAGAAGCATGGGACGGGATCACTCGCGTAAGGCTCCCAAGGACACGGATGCAGAGTCTGAGGTGACCAGTGAGGCTGCTGAGTTTTTGGCACAGCAAATTCGACGTTTCGGTGGACCTTGATACACTCAATGTTATGAATCGTGTCAAGCGTTGCTCTCTCTCGCTAGCAGGTGCTCGTAGTTTGTAGTTTCTTGTACGTCAGCCATGCCAGCGAAGAAGCAATGAAGCCTGTGTCAGGCCCAATCTCAAGCCTCTTCGCCCACGAATAGGCCGGCTCACGAGCTTGTTGGTGGTAGAGACTTGGTAAACCGTTTCGTGACGTCAAATTTTCCGTTTCAACCTCCACATGAAGGCGTCGCACCCCACGGTCGCGTAGCCAAAACGGCAGGCCGACGTGCTGGGTCAAAAGTTCTTGAGACTGCATGAAAATAGGTCCCGAATACTCTGGAGGCGCAAAGGGGTTTGTCAGGACTCGACTGAAAGGGGTTTAGGGTGAAGAGGGGTGAAGTGTGAGCTGAGTTGACCCGAATCTGGTGCCACTGCCACTGAAGACTTCAAGAAGACGCAACAGGCGTGCGCCCCCACCGATGCCATCCATCAAGGCTGAGGAGGAGCTGTACGCGTGGCCTGTCCTTCATGCGCATCGGTCTCCTCTGCTAAGAAGTTTTCCAATTAGTTTGGCATACGGGGGCCCATTACAGGTAGGGACCGGCAGGGAGTTTGATCCCCGGGTGCATGCACTGCAGGACAGGCCGCGGCATCAGTTGTTTGGGGGTATCCTGTTTCAGTATTGCTTCTGATTCTTGTCGTGCTTTGTCGGGCGCTACTTCACACGGCTTCTGGTAGGGTCATGATGGCTTAAGGATGGCTAACCCCACTGCGGAGCCCACTTCGCCCCTGCCGCCAGGGACGACGACCTCCAGACAGCATGGCATCCCCTCCCGCCTGAGATGGTCAAGGCAAAATGCCTGTGCCGGATTTTAAGCCTCCAAGAGGCCATCCCACCGACATTGGGGAGTCCAGGTCCTAACCACATGGCACCACTCAAGCAAGTAATGTCAAGCATCAACTCTTCGCCTTCACCTTTGGTCATGGCCACCGGCGAGATAGGCAAGCAGCGCAACTTGCCTGCGGAGCTGTCGATGTGCAAGCTTCCTTCATTCAAAAGCTACCAAGAAGAGCTACAGCAGAGCTTGCGTCGTCACGGCAAAGACAGGGACTGAGCCGCAGGCGGAGTTCTTGCAAAGCCAGATGCTTGAGCCCGAGATCGTCAGCTTTGGAGCCTGGCCCTGAGATGTGTCTAACCATATGCTATTACATTCTGACGGGACGAGACCTGGATGTGCCATGGACGGATGTTCTGTATAGCCCTCGTTGGCCAGGCGATGTTCCTCGGAGTTTTCCAGGCGGGGCGAGCGAGTTTCCGAAAGGTTTAGCTCGAGTCTTTTATGCAGCTGACCTTCGCAGCAGCAGTTGGTAGGAGCTTTCTTGTGTCCGACTTACTGAATGGAAATTTTGCAGCTCCATACCAACCCCAGCCATACGCATTCTTGACGATGTCACTAGGGAGAGGGGTTAGTGTTGCAGTCACGAGTGGTGTGACATGGATCGTGTGGGTCGCACAGTCGCACGGTCCTGGTTAAAGCCTAGTATATAGGAAAAGAAAGATGCAGCTAGAATCAATGGAGGAGAGGTTTGAAGATCTGCGCCAACTTCCACGCACAAATGTTGTCAAGCATTTCGAGAGCAACGAGTCCAAAAGAATCGTGCAACTTTGTTATTTAGTCCTCCTGCTCTTCGTTGCTAGTCTCCCCCTTCCGATTGCATCGGCTCTCGGTATCTTCTGCGATCATTCCTGGCTCTTTATGTTGGACCCTATTTGGGCATGTTTGCCGGCTTATGCAGAATCCTGCAATATGTTGAGGGGTTGGTCTTCGTTTTTTCTCAACCAAACCCAAAAGCTTAATGGCCGGGAATCTGATCAGAAACAATCGACTCGGCATGCTGCCCTCTCTTGCCAGGTACTTTTCGACAAGTATCACGACTTTCCGACCTCGGCAAGTACAAGCCAGATGAGCATTTCGGGATTCTTAAGGCCCGTTCGGCGTTCGCGCCGGGAGCATCGCACGACTTACGTCGTCGCATGTCCTGCAGGCCTTTTTAAAGGTCGTAGCCCCCGGAATTTTTCAGAACACACCGCATGTGGTTCGTAGCAGGTGTTTGGCATGCGATAGCTTCACTTGCAGTCTTGCGTTCTGTCAAGCGCGGTTTGGAGGATTGGAAGTGGTGTCATGCTCGGATTCGGATCCCAGCTGCTTTAAGCCCTAACCTCTATCCCTAAACCCTAAAGCTTACAAAGGCCAGTGGCCTCTTTATCTGTTACCCTTATGCCCTAATATATCTGTTACCCTTATGCCCTAATATAGCCCCTACATACCCTTATAAGAACCTCGAATAAATGACCTATCAAACAGAAACCCTACTTAAAGAGACCACCAACCCATACAACCTAAAGCCCTAAAGAGCTTCAGCAGGTTCTGCTTCGACTTCGGGCTTTTTCCTTCTGTTGTGGACTTGCAGACTATACAGCCAGAGTCTCGGAAAGATTCGCTGTCAATTTCAGCAGACTGCGTGGCACCTTGCGCATGGAGATGTTGCCAGGGCAATCTGTAGCTGCAGGAGCGCATGCGCAAGCATGCGTGTTGTAGTACTGAGACTGCAACAGCGCCGAATGCGCTTGCACCAACTCAGCGCAAGGCATCTCTACGGCCTCTGTGCCGAGGGAGAGTTGCAGGACACCTCTCGAGTCTCCACAGCTTAGTCCGTCTCTTTGAGGATGCGTGTAGGATCTTTAAGCCAAGTTGCGCAACGGCAAGGAGGCCAAGGGCTCTGTGGACCGCGGCGCCAGCCCCCCGCCCACAAAGAGCCCTTCGAGGAAGCGGCAATCAATGAAGAAGAAGAGCCGTGGCCCAAGCCCTTTCGGAGAGTTCAACACCTCTTCGACAATCCGCTCGGACTTATTGAGAGCTGGGAGCACATACCAGGCATGGTGCGCATGGAGCATGTTATTCTTGCATATGCTCCTGGACCAGGGAGACTCCGTGGCAAGAGCGGGTCAATTCACTTGGGCTGGATGCAGTCCTGGAAGCTTGTTCGGCCGGGGCCAGCACTGGAGCCCTTCAGGCAAGCAAGCAGATCCGCCGAACCAAATCTTCTGGAATGGGCAGCAAGTTCCAATGCCGCAACCTCAGCCTCTCGCAGGGCTCAGTGAAAGAAGTCGTGCTGTGTGGCGTGCTTGGAACCTGAGGGCATTTGCACCCTAGGTGGATTAAAGCCCGCAATCTATTCAGCTGACACTGGCACTTTGGTATGCGGCAGTGACAGCGGGCTTGGGGGCCAGCTACGACTGTTAGGAAGTCGTATGTGGCGCTGCAATCCGACACTGGGCTTTTAATTTCTTTGGTCTCAAAAATTTGGTTGAGGATCGACGAGTTGTCAGGTTCTGAATGTCGGTCGGGGGTAAAGATGTGATGGAATCTTGTCATGATTTCGCCTGTAAGCTGGCCCTGTGCCCACCTTACGCTGCCAGAAGCAAAGAAGCGTTCAGATTCAGACCGAATGAGAGCACGTCCTGAACCTCCTCCTCCCTTAAGTGACAAATTCGACCGCGATCTGCCAAACAGACGCCACACGCAGCCGTCAGGCGACTGGGCTGGCTGACGCGCGACTTTGCCCATCACAGTGAGCTGGACTGGGCTCATTTTCGTACACGAGAGTGCGAGCACCATCCTCATCCATCCTCCAAGCCAAGTGTTGCAGCCCCGCCAACAACCAGGAGTCCAAGTGCGTGTGCATCCTGAGTGCCATCAACGACTGGATGAAGGCACTTGGATGTACTTCTTGATGCACCTAAGGGGTGACTTGAGACCTCCGAGGGCTTCGGCTTGGTTCAGGCAAGCGAGTTTTTTGGATTTTTCCTGGTCCAACAGCCCAAATCAGTTGACAACACTGACCTCGTTCCAGCAGATTTTTGTGCAGATACAAAAATGCGGGAATCTAGCTGAGGCGACCAAGGTTTAGCCAAAGCAAAAATTTTGTTTGCCGCAGTTCACTGGCACGGCAGTTTTCATGTGCTTTTGGAAGCAAGGCCCGACAAGACCCGAGCCTTTGTGCTTGTTGCATGTCGAATATGCGCACCGCCTCAGATCTGAAGCTGCGTGTGCCGCTCAAACTGGTGGCAGAAACCAGAATGCCACCATGCCAGGACCGAATGTGGACAGCAGCTGACGTCTTCAATTTTCTGGAGCGACGTGGTTGGAAGTTTTTGTCCGTTTGGGGAGTGGGAGCGTGACGCGCCCTTGGGGCAGCCAGCATGCAAGCACGTTGCAGCCTTTTGAGGATATTTTGCGTAGTTTTGGACGCCTGCATGCTCTGCATCAAGTCTGAAGTGCAGCAGGACATCAATGCCAGCGGATTGATAAGCACGTGTGAGTTCATCGAAGGTCGGCCCTGCTGCTCTTGGTAGTGATTGTCAAGCAGCTTCGTGTGAGTAAGTGTTTGGCTTCGAAACCAGTGTCCGTGGTGCCTACGCCCTCACCAATCATGGCTGTCTTGGCTTCTGTCTCGCTGGCGAGTTAGAGCTCTTGGTCAGTGCAACCGCGGGCTGTGGCTCGGAAAACCAGTGGCGCCTGTCCATCGTTTCCCACGCTTCTTTCTCCGCGTTTGCTTTGTCTCCATGTGCCGCAGGGGTGAAGCTCATGAGATTGAAGAACCTGCCCAGCGACGAGGAGCTCTCCAGGCAGGTCCGGGAGAAAGCCGAGCAAACCCAACTACCCTCATGGTGCAGGTGCAGTTGTTTAAGTTGTTTGGGTGTGCGATGCTTCTGGGTCTCCTTGCTTTTCGTGAATCGCTTACAAGCTCACTAGTTAGGCAGTATATGACTCTCAGAAGACAGAACGAGGATGCAGACCCAATCTTTCTCCGTGCTAGGCACCGTAGCGCTCAGGCCTGTATGCAACGTGCCGTGACGCCTTGATCAGTTAGGCTTTCGAGCACACTCCGAGTCCAAGTTACACAGTGACTCAGGCCTCAGTCATCCTTCTTGCTGCTGTTGCCGAAGTGTCGAGTCGCCTTTGACCGGTACCGTTAGACAGTCAGGGGAGGCCTTGCCCAGTTTGGGTAATTGCACCACCGTGGCCCAGATCATAGCCATAATATCCTAAAACACTTTACCATATAGAAAATAAGGTGCAATTATCCAAAATGGACAAGGTAATGGGTCGCCAGTTTGGGTTATTACATCACCGTGAACATATATTGGCCATACAATCACAACTAGTAGCCCATTATCCTTAGAATACTCTATCTCATCCTATTTATCAGGTGATGTAACATCCCGAAATGGGCAAGGTTAGGTTTCTTCATTTTATGGGGCATAGTATGGGGCGTTTGGGGTTTTCTTTCAATAATGATTTAATAATGAAATTAGATTATTATTGGTGTTCTGCTTATAACAATTGGCATTCTTTTAAACGTTTCTCCAAATAACTTTTCCTCTGGTTGACGTCTTTTATATATTTGTCGTCTGCTGAAGATTTGTTGATTGATTTTTCCATTTCCTTTATCAATGCTTCAACTTTTAATAGCAATGAATATTGATTTTCTGCAAATTCATTTCTTAAGTTTTCCATTTCTGCTTCAATATGTGAAGTATTTTCTTTGTATATGCTTTTACTCGGGTCTTTTCCGGTCACGATATCATGCATCGTTTTTAACATATACTCTACTATATATTTTAATCTTTAAAACTTTTGAAACTTTGTATTAATAATATTTTCCCAAGAAAACCCCCTGCACTCATTCCTTCCCTTTAAGTCTAGATTTCTCATTATTATTTAAACAAGCCCTACATGTTTTATTGTATACCCTCATATAATGCTTACTTACAAACTCATCTACATACTTTACTTGTTTACATGCTTTACATTGCATGTACTGTGTTTTACAATCACTACCTGTAGGAAACTCAACAGAAATATTATCATCTAATTCACTCATTATTATTAGATGATAATATTATGAATAGGTTTTCGTCTCTTCGTTATACTTTATATTGTAATAGTCAAGGGTTGTTTGTTTTGGTTGCAAAATTTCCTTGTTATTCAGTTTAGTCAAATATGTATTCTTCTTGTTTTCATACGTTGCGTCAACTGGCGTTCTGTTAAAGTTTCTCGTAGACCTTTCATTGAACAATTTCTCAATCCTCTCCAGTCTCAAGATGACATCTTGCTTGAAGTCAGGTTTATCACCCATATACTTATATATACATTAAGTTTTTAAATATAAACTTTTATAATAAAACTTTTATATTAAAATTTTCATAAACTGAATTATGAAAATTCTAAATTCCAAACTAATTAGGGATATATCTTATGTATATCCGAATTATGTAAGTGTTCCAAGATACTTCCCTTTCTCTTGCTCACTTACGATGTCTGGGACTTATGCAATCACACGGGAGCAATGGGCACATATTCGGGGTGTTCATCCTGTTTCATTTCTTTCCGGGGGAAATCAAAAGATGCGAGGAACGAGACTCGCATGGCTGTGCGACGCGTCGGCTGACGCCTCGCGAGGTTTCGCGACTATACAACTGTCAATATATATTAGAAAAATATTTTTTAAATATTAATCCAATAAATTCATGTTGTTTTGTTTTAACTGTGATACATCTTTATCAATTCTTTCTACATCTGTCTCTAATTTAAATATCCTTTCTTGATTTTCTTCGGGTGTAGGCTTCCGACCTATTCCAAAACCTGTGTCGCAAATTTCAACACTACCTAACTGACTGTTTTGTTTAAACACGTCATTACCGTCAGGTGTTGCTCCACGCCCATTTCCAATTCTCCACGAACTCCTATCTTCCACTTGATTAACGACAACGTTACCGTCTTTATCAGTCGTTGTTTTAGTTTCTTTATGAAAGACTTTTTTACCACATCTGCAAAAATTGCAATTAACACTTCCCTTTTCAATGTTAATATTTCCTTTGTCCTCTTTATCACTCATATTTTTAAATGTTAGAAATTTATTTTTTCTTTAATTTTAAATATTGCAAAATCCCTTTACATATTTCCAACACCGAGTAGCAACACCTACGATATCTAGGCGTTGTTATTATTATCTGTTCTATTTCTTCAAGGTTGTCAATGACATCAATGCAATCACCGTAATTCATATATTATAACATATAATTTTTCTAACTAATATTAATAATGAACGAGAATGTTCCGACGGTAGAACCAATTGATATACCCAAGTATCAGTTCAAAAACAGCAAGTATGAGATGATGCCATCCTTACCAGCGAGAATGTTGGCTGTGGCTTCCAGTACAGGCGGTAAAACAGTTTTGATACAGAACTTAATATTGAAGATTTACCGCAATAGCTTTGAGAGAATCTATATATTCAGCCCTAGTGTAGATGTGGACGACACGTGGAACGCAGTGAAGAAGTACATAAAGGATGTAATGAAAGTGGACTCGGAAAAGGAACAGATATATTTCAATCATTACGACGCAACTGCCTTACAGAAAATAATAGACACCCAACACAAGGTAATAGAGTTCCAGAAGAAGAACAAAGACAAGGATTTATTCAGTATACTAATAGTCATTGATGATTTCGCGGACGACCCAAAATTTGTAAGGTACTCAAGTATCTTGCACGGATTGTTCACAAGAGGTAGACATAACGCAATTTCAGTGATACTGTCCACTCAGAAGTACAACGTGCTAGCTCCAATAATTAGGCTCAATGCGTCTGCGCTGTTTGTGTTCAGACTCAAGAACATGAATGAAGTCAATGCATTTTTAGAAGAGAATAGCGCGCTGGTAAACAAGCAACAGTTATATGAAATGTACCAACTGGCGATAAACGATGCTCCATATAGCTTCTTGTACATAAACACGAATGCAAAAGATGCAAATAACATGTTCTACATCAGATTTGAGAAGGTCTTAAGGACTGATGAAGATGATTAATAATATCAAAATAATATTATTAATCATCAGAATAATGAGAAACTACAACAGTTAAACGGTAAGCATTTAGAAGAAGTACCGCAATATCCTTTGTTTTTGTTTTTCAACTGTTCTATTTCATCTTCTAACTTTTGTATTTTATCTGTTAAATCTTGGATAGTGTTAAATATAATTAAGTCTCCCTTTATCTTTTCTAATTGTTCATTGAGTTTCTTTTCTATTTGTTCATCAATATTAACCATTATATATTATTATTTAGATTTTAATGTTTACTTTTCGTTTTTGCTTTTGCCTTTGCTTTTGGTGATGCTTCACCTTTTAGTTTCTTAACTTCCTTTTCTAAATCTTCTACTTGCTTTTGTAATTGTTGCACACAACCCCAAAGCACAACTGCTGTTTTATTATATGCTAATAATTTCATACCATCATCATTATAATATACGATGTTGTCCCATTCAGAGGGCATTTTAGCGTCTTTTATATCATCTGCTATAAATCCAATATGACTTTTTTTGTCTTCATCATTGATAAAATTATATGTTTTCGGCTTGATATATTTGACTGCTTTATAACATTCTTTAATATTTGCTTCCTTAACATTTTCTTTTAATTTAGAGTCTGATGTTTCAGTTAAAGCAACGCATGTTAAATTTCCTCCAATATCAGCGTTATTAGTTGTAGTAAAGAAGCCGTAAACATCAACGCCTGTATTTGTTGCGTCTAATCTTGATAAATTGTTATTACTTAATCTAATCAATCCGTCATTATCTGGATTGTTAATTAATACTCTTTGTTGTCCTGATACATCAGTATTTGTAATTTCTAATTGCCCAACTAAAGTTACTTTCCCGTCTGTAAGTTGAATTTCTGGCGTTGATGATTCCAATCCTATTGTTAAATTCATTTCTCCCGCTGTGTCTCCATTTCTGATATATAACTTATATTGAGTGTCCAAAACTTCCTTTAATTCACTACTATTTTGAAACATAAAACGCCCCCAACTAATAACATCTGCTTCGCCAACGATATTACCTATACTATTGAATGTTTGATTATTTGTAACTGCTCTATTAATGGTAATTCCGTTAGTGTCATTTAACTGCAATGCTATAGTCCCTGTTGTAGGGTCGGTTGTTCTATCAGACTGTAAGGAAAAGTTGATTTCTTCTGTTGATACGACATTTAATGAATTGTTAACGTCTGCTCTTTGAAATATTCTTCCATCAGTGCTTAATAATTGTTGTCCTAAAAATGTTGCGTCATTTTCTACTCTTGTCTCATTAAAATTACTTATACCGCCTACTGTTAAATGATATGAAAAATTATACTGTCTTCCTATTCCCACTGTTGCTGTTGTTTGACTTCCTATTCTTAAACGATAATCACCTCCTGTGTCGTGTAAAATCATTTCCGTTCCATTTGCTGGATTGCTCGGGTTCATACATCTGAAATTTCTGTTTCTAAATTCAAAAACTCCCTGTGTGTCTCTAACTCTTAAATTATAATTAGCATCTCCACTATTTCTGAACATATCTATCCCTGCTGTCGGTAGTTGAATATCTCCTGTGTTATTTGTTAAATCTATATTATTATCTACTCTTAAATTCTGTCTAATAATAGCACTATCTACAACATCTAATGTATAACCTCCTGTTAATGTATTTGATGCTGTATCTACTAATAGTGAATGCGATTTAACATACTGATTAGAATTACTATTTAAGTTTAAAATTCTTCCAGTGTCTCCAACTGA